GGTGTATTGTGCATCTAAGTTGTTTAATATTTGTTTAACGAAGACCGTTATTAAATTTCCGGAAAACTTGCGTTGCTGAATAACCATGTTTTTGGAACAAAGTCAGTTCACTTGCGAAATCTAGAGGAGTACATTTTGTATAAAGTGCATATATATTGTCCCGGTTCAAATTTTAGGTGGGGACCTAATATCATTTCCGATCTTAACAAGCGTCGGCGTTCGGTAACTTTCAGTTTTATCACAAGGACTACCAAGACGCGATTATTGAACCGAAATACCTAGGCTGCATTCTCCCGCTTCTGAGGCGTTAGCCTCATTTTTTAATTATGGATGTTGTGTGATTGCAGCTAGAATGACTCGATCGATCAAGGCATAACATTTACCAATTAGCCATAATATATCTCTCAAGTTGCGGCCGAATGAATGGTTGGTCATCATCGAAAATATGTACCGAAAAAATTGGTTCAGAAAATTGAAATCTCAAGTATCCCCAAAATATATACTAAAGTTTCACAAGACTGCGATGATGTGTGATAAACTTACTTACTTAGTGCCACGTTCTCTACAATACTCTTTGGATGATTGTTTTTGGCAAACTATGAAGGAAAAATCATGAATCGCAGGCTGTTGTGTTGAGAAATGAGAAAATCTTGTCATATAATAGAGATTTCGTTTATTTAGTATTTAGTTTACGGCACGATATTTAATAAAAATGTAAAGTAAAGATCATCGTATATTACTAAAGGAAGCAGTACACACTATTAATATACGATATATTTGAAATCATAAATATGTCTATTTATTTACTTATATAATATAATGTAGTATATTTGGCATAAATTGTTTTCGTATTTATAAACTTAAGTCATACTTTGAAAATAGATTTTTGCATTGAAAAAAAAAAAATGCATTGAAAATGCATGTGTGTACGTGTTCTCGGAAAAAGTTAACAATGTTGTTCGAAAGGGATTAAACAACAATGACTTTGTTGAAATTGCTTTTGTTTTGCTTTTGCGAAGCTAAACAAACAGAGGAAATGAGAATTTCCTTACATAAGCCTATCACCTGTACACACATTACCCATAAGCCATAAACACTTGTTATGTTTGCATTATACATACGCTAAACTAAACGAATAGAGAATTCATAGAAGAGGCAAGGATTCACGGCATGGCATTCAAAGCCTAAGTGAAAACGAAATTAGGGAAAGAACAAGAACAAGAAGCAGAAGACGAAAAAAAAAAAATGACTCAAGCACAAAGACGAAAAAAGTTAAATATAAACGGAAAATATAAATATAAAAGGACGGATTTACTTGCTTACCCACGCATACACAAAAGCTTCGGGTACATATGTGACTTTCTCTTCTTTTACTATTTTTTAATTCGTTGGCTTTAATTAAATTTTTACACGCACGACTCTTTGTTTACTGGTGCTGATCTGGAAAAAATTAAAATGAAACGCCGTAACACAAACAAGCGATTTACCTTTTGCTTGTGCTTGTTATTATTGTTATCTTTTTGTTTTCTTGTTTTGTTTTGTTTTGTTTTTTATTTTTTTCGTATGTTTGCGATTTTATTATTTCAGTATTTTGCAATTAGGGACGTGTGTGCATATAATCGAGTGAATGTATTGTGTTATTCTTATTGTTATTGTTGCTGTTGCTGTTGCTGTTACTGTTACTGCTATTGCTGCTGTTGTGCGTATTCGTTGTTGGCGGATAATGCATACACTCTTACACTTTTAGTCCAATATGAGCGTAGGTTACACGGGACACGGCACATAGCACATAGCACATAACACTTAGTCTCTATGCTATATACATATAAATATACATGCATATATACATGCATATATATATATATATATATATATATATATGAGAATTTTTCGACAACTTTATATACTCTTGAAGCGAGTAAACCAACAGCAAACAAACAAACAAACAAAGTACTTATTTGATTTGGTTTTTATAGTCTTTGTTTCATTTTTATTTTTTAGTCTTTAGTTATTGCACTATACCCGTATATACGGGTATGATATTTTGAACTTTAAAATAATATTTTGATAGCTCAAGTGGTCAAATGTTTACAACGAATGTAGTCGTTCTCAACTACTACTTTCAAAGAGCAGGATAGGATTGATAGGGAAGAATTTTACACTTTACGTAAAGAAAAAGTAATGAGTGAATAGTCCGGTCTTCGGTGTTTTTTTCTAAAATGACATTTATTCATCTACATAGAAATTTTATCGTTTCTATAACAATTAACGCCAGAAAATCTATTCCAATTTATACTGTTTGCAAAGTATAGATATATGTATATAGCAGAACTTGAAGAACTATATTTTTCATATACCTTTGCAAACAGTAAAGCATTTTTCCGATCTCAGGTTATCATCCACGTCTACCTCAATTCTATGTTTGTATATTTATGTCAGATATTCGTGTTGTCAGCTATATTTTGGTATTACATGATTTTACATGCCTGTCAATTCCGCCTAAATTTTATCTATACATTCGCAATTCCAGTCATTCGCGTTCGAATCATTTACCCATCATCCCATACTTAAAGTGCACTTTAGCTATCGCTTTATAAGCAAGCACACTTGAACGATCAAATTTTGGTTAAAAGAAAATGTTTCCTAATTACAACAATAATAATAGGTCTAATGTCGCGGCGTACCTCTCCAACTGAATTGTGCTCTGGTATAAATATGTTTTTAATTTATTTAGTGAAATTTTTTTGGTAGTCAATAAAATAAATCAGTTTATTTGATGGGCATTCAAGTGTCTCTGGCCAAAATAAATATTTAATAATTTTTAAACGCATTTCTGTGGCTTGTTTGTTTTCTCCATTCAAACGTGAAAACTTTATTAATTATCAATCACTTTACTTGTTTATTGTTGATTGGTGGTGGTGGCATAAATGTATTTAACAACAAAAAAAAAAAAAAAAAAAAAAAATTAAGCGATGTTTTCAAGTGATGCGAAAATTAAAGGACCGTATGGACTAAAAGCCATTACAAAGAATACATATTAACACATGCACACACGCTTACACAAAGCCAACCTCAAATTTATTGAATGCTTAAACATTAAGGCTAGTAGATGAACAGCTGAATGAGTGTTGTATTCACATAGTCACGCACATGAATTGTGCTTGTATTCATGTTGATTTTTGTTGTTGTTGTTGTTGTTGTTTTTTAAATTTTTTTAAAATACTTTTATGACATTTTCTTATCCATATAATTTGAATAAATTTTTTGGATTTTGTTTTAATTTTTTTATTTTTTTTAATATTTTTTTTATGCACATAAACATGAAATAGGTCAGTAAAGGTGACGTTATAACTGAAATTGTATTATATACCACATAAAAGTTATTAGCATGCGTTGCGATTAAAACGATTGCATTGTTCCCGCTGGCACTGATGCTGCCCTAACGAAAGCTAACGAGTAACAGTTGCCCTTTCTGGATATTGTTAGATGCGTCAGCCAACTATATATGTATAAATATGTATATATATATATATATATATATATATATGATATATATACATATATACATATAAGGATATATAAAGGATGCTGTGCGCTATCAAACGTTAACAATTCATATAGCGTTTGGTGAACTCTTCTACAAAATTCACTCGATTGCACATATTATTGTGCTCTCTCTTCGAAAGTTAGCAGTAAAGAGAATTTTAACATTAACTGCTAGCAATATGCAAACGTACGTAATAATAGGTGAACGAGTAGTGAATCATTGAAGTAAAAATACTTTCGTGCTGTAAACAGATGCGTTGATTTTTTTATGGGGAAAATGACACTTTCCCGCCTATGAGAAGAGACACAAGTTTTAGAGAAATAAAATTGAAATAAAGTTTACTTTTTATGTCGAAATCGTGGACATTTAAATTCAATTATCTCTTTATACTTCGTACAAATTACTTCATCCTATGATGATTGATTTTATTGTGCAACGTTGAACCTTACCGTAAGTATCATGGAAACGAGTCGATCTACAGTTTGTCTGTCTTTCGCGTGCGTGAATTTTAAGCTACAATTTTTACTAACATGTGTTCACATCCATCAGAGAGAGAGAGAGAGAGTTACCCAATCAATCATGGATGATTTCATAATATTCTATATACGTTTGTTTATTATTTAGTATAACTTGTAACTTCTGTTATATACGTAGGATTCTCAGTCAGCGACATCCTATGATTTCGGAACGCGTCACATATGCGTAAACAAGGATTTTGTGAACACACCTATGACTTTAAATCTGATTAATCGTTTGCCTATGAGTGTGTATATAAGTCGAAAATGACGATCCATGATCATAATTATGATAAAATCAATTTTTGCTTTATTTCTCGTATCATCGGGCTTATACAGTGGATACCGATCTTTGTACCTTATCGCATTCTCAATCGAAGCCATCACATTAAAAATTACATTATATGTTTGTTGCGTACATTTTGTTACATGATAACAATAAAAATGTTTGTTACAAAATTTCAATTTTTCTCTCTTTTCTCTCTTCTAAGCCATCAAATATGTTTTGGTCCTCATTATGATATGAAATTTGAAATTTTTTATCCCGTTAATGAATAAAGTTGCCCATCCCTTCTTAATAGGTATGGTATGCAATCCTTATTTGCGAATTGGTGGAAAATCCGTTTATGATCACCTGCTGGAAGTGGGCTCGTCACCAGTTCGCTCTTTAGCATTTTTTCATAAGATTCGATATATAAAATTTAATCATTAGATTTATTCGAATCCACTCAGTAAAGTGATAACTGGATAGCACCCTACAGCCAGCGGGGATAATAATACAAAAAACTTTAATACAAATTTTTAACTACATTTCAACGCAAACTTTAACAGCATACGTAAAGAGAATGCTGCATTAGAAATCTTTTTTCTTTTGCTTTTGTGTTCCGGTATTGATCAAAGGAAATTGAATATAATTTTTAAATAAAATAGATAAATACCTCTCTTTTCAGTTTCGGTTGTTCTCGGTAGTTGCCTGCGTGCTATAAATGATGTGCAATTCCATTAATAATAAAGGTGGTAAGTAGAAGACTGCATTGCACTCCTGAAAACAGGAAATTTCCTATTAATAAAAATGAGATTAAATTATAGCTAAAAGTATTAAATAAAAGTATCCATGCGAAATTGTTTGTAATGCCAAAAAAATTGGCACTAAGGGCAGAGATGTTATCTATTTAAATAAATAGTATACATCCATTAGCTAAGTACGCGGAATTTATTTTTAAGTCGTCTTGCTGATTAAAAGGAAATTAACGGAGGGACCACATTTCGAGTGGATTAATAAAATGGCGCCTAGACGTGGGGCTGCTCTTTAGAATCGATGAACAAAGCGAAAGCTTTTTTGGCAACATTTCATGTTCGCGCAAGCGCTTGTCATGTTCCAGAGGCGCTATTACCTACGACGTGCAAATCTGGATCTGAGACCGGAGTGTTTACGTATCATCCAAAAAATCGAGCACTCATCTTAGATGTCGAAAAAAGTGCAATACTTTCGAAGCTTTTTATGACATGAATTTTTTGTTGTTGCAGATGTTGCAGAATTTTATTGGATGGCCATGGTTACTCTCAACCTGCCCATGGCCCTACATTGATATGAATAACTGATGATTAATCAGTAAAATTTGATTTTTCTTTCGAATTTAGAGAAGTAACATGGATGAACGCACTTCCGATTTTTAATTGTGGATATCTGTTAACAACGATGACGCGAATGAATGTTCGTAGCGTTGGCAAGTCTGCAATTCTATAGATTGCATATTATTATGTACGCATTTGTGACGTTAGTAAGATTTCAATTCATTAACAAATTCAAAAGCACAGTAAGGCGACCCAGCTACAAATATACGTTAAATCGGAAGTTAATCGATATTTTTTTCCTTTTTTACAGACTCAACGCAAGCTACTTATTTAAAGGTAAGATTTATATTAAGAACTTTGCTCCTTATAGAATTGACGGTTCATCAAATGCATATGGACCTCCGCATGGAATTTTTATTTGCATTACCTTACAGTAAATATACATTTACTAAATACGTATTGTGGACGCGCCATTATGTTCTTTAAATGACCAGTCATTCAGGGGATGTCCCTTATTCGTGTAACATGCTGACGACTAGAATGGAGAAGAAGTGAAGAATGGGAAAGATATAGGGAGATGGCTGCAGCCCAGTGGGTCTGTGTACTCAATTGGTAAGCGTTACGTTTTACCGACGAAACACTCACCATAGCTTCGACTAAAGCGAACTCGGGGTTCCTACCCACTCGCCTACTCTTGCCATGGCAGGAAGGTGAACAATAGTCAAACAAAAATTAAAATCTGTTTTCCTCGACCTATATATATATATATATATATATATATATAAGCGGGCAGTTTGTGGATATTTTTGATATGTGCAACATGGTTACTTTTCATATTTTAAATACATGTGTGGTTAACATTAAAGCATAACATAAGCATTAATGTTGTTAATCTCACGCATGCTCCTTTTTTTGTTTGGTTTTCTTTTTGTTGTTGTTTATATATTCATTTATTTATTTATTTATTTATTTGTTTTTTTTTTTTTTTTGTTAATTCGTCTCTTTCGTTTAGTGAGTGCGAAACTATCTTCTAAGTGGTGTTTTTCAATGAACAAAATAAGCCAATATTACTGTTAAATACTTATTAAGCCCGCAGACATTTAGCAGTGTGTTCCGTTATATATACAAAGAGCACGAGGCATATACGCACACTTCAAGCAATAGCTCTGCTATAATGTCTCTTTTGTAAGACAAAAGAAGATTATGTGATACGTTTTGTTTTTTCATGTTACGTTTTTCGCATCTTGTTTAGTTGATGCTGAACAATATCAAGAATGTCATGATGCGCATTGCACTGCTTATTTACTTGCCTAGTGTTTAACGTTTCCCTCTAGGAAGTCACTATTTATAAACAAATATATAATGAGATGATTCTTTAAAAGTCAATAGAGGGAGGGAGATAGAGAGAAAGAGAGAGAGAGAGATCTTTCTCTTTTTTAATTAATATAATTTTATTTAAACAATTTTTCACTCGATTTAATTTAAGAAAGTCACTACTGATTAATTGCATATAGATGAGTTTCCAATAATAATAATATTTAGTTTTCAATTTTCCACTTTTTCTGTTTTGTTTGCTTTGCTTTCTTGTGCATTATATCTAAAAATTATGTTTAAAAATATGTTGTTTCTGATTATAAACATATATTAATATGGAACAACATGTGAAATCAACTGTCACGCGAAAAGCGTACGACGTCACAATATTCGCGTCCAGATACGTGCTTTTAATTCGTCATCATTCCAATTAAATAATTTATTCGAAATAATAATAATGTGAACAATTAAATATTTATTATATAAAAAACCCCACATTTAATGGTTTGATGGAGTCTGCAGGAAAACTAGTCGATCTTCTAAGATCCAGACAGAATTCCAGAAATTCCAGAAATGGAAAAACCAAATATACATTCATGCTGACTTATTTGCCTCATACAAGTGACGATTATCGGAAAGATTAACAACAATTCTTAGAATATTTCACAGACAAAGTTATTAACGCAAAAGATGTCATGAGGAAGTTAAGTACTGGCAACTTGGGTGGTATAAGCAGAATATTTGCGGAAGGCAAAGTCAGTCAAGTCAAGAGAGGAGAATGAAATCTATCTTGCATTAAAAATTGCAAAGGTCAGTTTGACGTAAAAATATATATATAATATTTAGGAATGTACGCATGTGAAGACATGGAAATATATATGTAGAAATATATGCATAGAAATATACAGAAATATATCTCTGTTCCTATAACTATATGGAAGTATATGCATGGATAAATATATATATATATATATATATATATATATAGAAATATATATAGAATATATATAGAAATATATAGAAATGTATATACGTGGTAATATATATATAAAAATATTGATAATTAAGTAAATATATATAAATATACAGAACTATATATTTGGATATAAACAGGAACAGTAGAAAATATACTTACTACTTATATATATATATATAAGTAGAAAAATATACGTCTAGAATATACGTAGAGCATGGTGTGTATAGAAATATGTAGAAATACATATACATACGAAAATATATAGAAAACTATATATAAATGCATATACGGAAATATTATATATAGATATATGTATATAGCAATATGCATATATACATGTACACTGAAAAATAGAAATGTGATCAGCAAATGGCCCGAACCCATTCCTCTTACTACACGATCACAATTCCGAACAAAAATTCCACGACAGTTTTATGATTATTTTAGGAAAAGCGCGATTCTAGAGTTCGACTTAAAGCGAACGCAGGCATTTTACTGGTTTTTCTCGGGTAATTGAAATTACGTAAGACTTAACATATTCATAATGTAGTGCGTTATGCTGGGCAACCAAAGAAAAAAAAAAAAACGCAATTTCTACTTTAGGAAATAAAAACGAACAAAAACCGTAAACGATGATTACAAACATATTTAACTGCACTCACATGCTCATTAAGTTTTAGATTACTTTGCTGTATCCTCTGTATCTTGGTGGTGCTGTTTATAATGAATTTTGTCTAGTTTTGGGTAAGGATAGATAGATGTATGCATACACTGTATATGTAGTGGCCTGTATTAGTTCTTAAAGTAGAATTTTGCTAACAGTTTTGAAATATATTACGGAAACGTTTGCCAACCATATAAGTATCCGTGTAGGAGTTTTCTTCTCATGCCTAGCCTTGTGTTTGGTGGCATGTTAGATTTCCTTTTTCTTTTGTTATTTAGATGAAAATAGTCATCAGCGACTACGAGAAGTACAAATGTAGAAATGTTTAGTGTAACATTTCGCGGCGATCTGAAATTATTCTGACATTTAAATATAATACAAAATGATCCGTTTACAGCGTTCGCCTTTTTCGGTATTGATTGCTATGGTTTAGAGCAGATTATTTGAAATATACGTAAAGTAGTGGGTGTAATTTGCCTAAACACGCGTCAACAATGCACAGTATCCGTCGGCTTTATAGCATATTGATTTAGAATATGCTATGACTATTTGCTAGGACTATTTGTCTCGAAAACAAGGCCAAAATTCTTTCCTATTCATATAGTAGAGATATAACATATAAAAATAATAATAAAGGTATTAACGTGTTTCCACGCAAGGCGCGAACAACGTAACGTTTTTTATTGGTTTATCTATGCAATGTGTGCGAATATTTGTTATGTACGCGCACGAAATCAAAAGCAATTGTCGAATTCGCCGACAATATATTTCCCGTTTTTGATATTATTTTCCTCCCCTTTGCGTTTTTTTTTTTGTTTTTTACTTCTTCTTTGTGGATGCGATGCGCATAGGGGGAGGGAGAAATGCGAATATTCTACGTGGTGTCTAAAAGCCACATAAATTAAATCGGTGCATTCACAGCTGTGTGCATTCAAAAATCATGTACATTAATTTCGTTTTGACACTCTGTGTGCAGCGTTTAAGCGAAAATTTATGAATTTTAGACGATCTATTTTTAAGCATACGCTTTTTCGGTTGTTGTCAAAATATATATATATATATATATATATATATATATATATGTGTGTGTGTGTGTGCAGTTGCAACATTTTGTTGCCATTTGTGCCGGTTATAAAAGAAAAAGCGGAAAAGGAGCTCAGTTTCATTTTTCAATTTTTGCAGATCTCCGCAAACGAGATACGATTGCAGCTAAAACAAGAACATTGGCAGCAGCTAGTGCGACGCGTTGTTAACTTGTTTTGGGGGAATATCAGGAAGACAAACCCTTGAATGTGAAAGGTTATTGAGACCAATCCAACTGACAATAATACGCTATGGGACAAACAATACCAAATAAGATTTTATCCTTCTCTTCGTTCTCAACATTTTGTGTGTGCGTTTGCAAAACTTACAATAATATGCCATAGATTGCAAGCTGTATGAGAATTATATGATTTGATGCGTACAAAAAAAAAAAAAAAAAATACACACATCCAAACACACACACACACAC